TTCCAAAGGGACACATAAGCAAAGAAGGCTGAACTTGCAAGAAGTGTGATGGTCACACACCTGCCAGGTTGGCTCATGCCCCTGTTTGCCAGTCATGATCAGGCAGCCGGTTTTTTGATGGGCAGTTGGCCTACCATTCATGGCTGCTAGGCAGATTCAACATATAGTACACTGTAACACAATCAGCTTTTGTGCATGTGTGTTCTTGGACAGCACAAGGGAGTTCTGTTTCCCCCATCCTTGCTGTATCACTGCTCTGCTCAGCCGACAATTGTTTAGAAAGAGTTAAATGAATCACAAATCTAGAAATGTCACAATGACGTTTTAAAAAATCTTACTGTTCAAAGTTCACCTTAGCCACATTAATGGCCACTGATCAGTTTGGATCAGCAGCATTTTTATGCATGCACAGTTCTGCACAAAAACCATGCAAACTGGCGCGGCAGGCATTCGAGTCATTCAATGCTCAACCGAATGGATCTGGTGATCAGCTCACATCTAATTCAGACTGCCAAACACAGAATGCTCAGCTGTCAAACAAGTCCTCCACAAAATCTGCAGGCTCCCTAGGAGCACAAGACAACCCCACAGCTGCCTTTTTTCGTAAGAACTGAGCCAATCCACTACACAGGGCCTCATAAGCCCATCGTCTAGCCCCTACTTTAACACGTGCTCATTGCCATGCGCCAGGAAGCATCCTGCAAAGAAGACCCAAGTGCATCAAGCAAAGGAAGCTGCAGCACAAGGAAGTGGAACAGCTGGAAGTTAAATCTGGAACCATTTAAACGAGAAGTAAGGCCCCAGTTGTCACCAGCAAAAGCAATTAATCATCGCGACAAGCCGCTAAGGGGTGGTGGTGGTGGAAGTAGGGAGACCAAGTTCCCCACGACTTGCCGCTTTCTAGTGAATTATGGACTCCCTCCTTAAAAGCCAGATTAAAAAAAAGCTGGCTGATTGAGTGATAATGACAGAATTCCCAGCCACAGAGGAGAGAGAAAAAGGAGAGAAGCAAGACTAGATGACCTCAAGGAATCATTTATCAAGTAATTGTAATCATCTCCAAGCTGAGGGGAAATACACTGGAAGGGTGGGGCTGAGAAACTCCCAGCCACACGGTTGTATAAGTATTTACCTTATTTCAGTTTTTGATTTAAAACAGGGAGGGTTTTTTAATATATTTTTGCATTTTGTGTGTGCCCACCCATGCCTGGAAGTCATGGCGACCTCTGGCGACTCCTACTGGGGCATGGAGGAAGTTCAGAGAAGTGGCTTGATAGCCTGCCTCTGCCTCCCAGCCCCCTGGTATTCTTTGGAGGCCTCCCATCCAAATACTTGCCAGGGTCAGCCCTGCGTAGCTTCCGAGATCTGACAAGATCAGGCTTGCCTGGGCTATCCAGGTGAGGGCTATTTAAAACCGTCCTTAAGAGTTGGAAACCTACTGGAGAAAAGCTATTCTTTAAAACTCTTGGAGAACATGTCCCTTCCCCACGAGCACCTTTATGTAACCTGGCGTCCTGAGCTGTCAGCGTGCAGGACAAGGGAGTAGAGGCCAAACCTAGCAGGCTCCAACCTAGAGACAAACTCTACTATTGATAGCCAAGGAGATGTCCACCTGCCCTCGGTCTGCACAGCTACTACCTGCACACATCTGATCGTATGCATACATGTATCAGTGGGTATGCATTCAGACAAATGTGGACACATCCATAGCTGTGCCTGTCTCTCTCTCTCTCACACACACACACACACACACACACACGAAGCTGCCTTATCAGGCCATCGGTCCATCAAGGTCAGTATTGTCTACTCAGACTGGCAGCGGCTCTCCAGGGTCTCAAGGAGAGGTCTTTCACGATGAGGGATATTTAAAACTGTTTTTAAGAGTTGGAAACCTACTGGAGACAAGCTATTCTTTAAACCTCTTGGAGAACATGTCCTTTCCCCACGAGCACCTTTATGTAACCTGGCGTCCTGAGCTGTCAGCGTGCAGGACAAGGGAGTAGAGGCCAAACCTAGCAGGCTCCAACCTAGAGACAAACTCTACTATTGATAGCAAAGGAAATGTCCACCTGCCCTCCGTCTGCACAGCTACTACCTGCACACATCTGATCGTATGCATACATGTATCAGTGGGTATGCATTCAGACAAATGTGGACACATCCATAGCTGTGCCTGTCTCTCTCTCTCTCACACACACACACACACACACACACACGAAGCTGCCTTATCAGGCCATCGGTCCATCAAGGTCAGTATTGTCTACTCAGACTGGCAGCGGCTCTCCAGGGTCTCAAGGAGAGGTCTTTCACCATAACCTATTGCCATATCCTTTAATTGGAGATGCCAGGGACTGAACATGGGACCTTCTGCATGCAAAGCAGAGGCTCTTCCACTGAGCCACAGCCCCTTTGTAGCCAAAGAGATGCACAGAGAGTGGCCCTTTCTTGGGGGGGGGGCGGTGTCATGGCAAGAGCAACTGCTTTGCTTCTATGCTGTACCCCCAAGACGGAGTCAACAGCACATTACATGGAGGACTGCAAATCCACCACTTTCTCCCAAGGAGAAGCCAGTAGATTCGGAGGAAGGGGAAATTCGAGCACCCCGTCTCACACAGAAAGCCAACATCATGAAAAGCTGCTTTCAAGAATAGGTAAGCCCTCTCTTTGCCCCACCCAATAAGAGAGAGGCAGCATGCAAAAGTGAGCAAAATGCTTCATCTTGGAGCCTTTTTAAAAATAAAAAAACATTCAGGTTAAATAGGCTGCATCAGCCCAGCCCGCTCTGTCCTCGTCGCTCTTCAGCTCCTGTGAAGTTCTGAGGTGACGAGTCCTTTGAACAAAAGACAACAGAGGCAGGGATTCTGGCAGGGATCGCTCATGAGCAGACTTTGCACAGGTCAAAAAAGCCTCAGGCACCTTACCATCCCACCCACCCCCGGGGAGAATCATACACAGTTAAATCATATGGGCATTTATCCCACCTTACATCATACACAGTTAAATCATATGGGCATTTACGAAATCACATTATACATGGAGCAATACCACGGGAATGAAGGGACATTGCAGAATGTAGTACTCCTGGGCAGGCACTAAATTGAGCTACCTGAAAACCTCAGGGGTTGGATCTCAAGGAAGACTTCGTGGAAGGAGTCAACAGACTGAATTCTCCTTCCCAGTAGCCTGCAGTTTGGCCCCAAAATTCCCTTCTGAGAAGCAGGTAAAAATGGCCTTGTAATGATTCCTTGTTTTATATGTGTGTGTGTCTCTTTAAAAGTTTGGTTGCATGGCTGTGTGATGGACTAGAGTGCTTGAAGAGACAAGTGTGATGTGATTGGTGATTGACAGAGAGGGGGAGGGGTTTTAGAAAGGGTTTCTGAGTGGATGAATGGGTATGTCCTTCAGGAGTGACGGTTGAAGGATGAGAGTTGATAAAGACAGTTGATAAGTTAGTTCGTTCTGAGGTCTGAGGGAGAGAGACAGTCTTGTGTGTGATACAAGAGTTAAGTTCTGTGTATGAAGAAAAGTTGAATGTATAAGGAAACAAAAGTTAAATGAAAGTCTGAGTGACAGACTGGAGTGAAATAGGAAACGTATATGACACTGAGTAATGAGTTACAAAGTTACTTGAAAAATCCCTGTCACAAAGGGAGCATGTCTTGTGTGAGACACAACGAAATTGTTAAAATTATTCACATTACTGGTTACATTGTTCTACACTTTATTTATGAACTGTTTCAATAAATCTTCTTTTATTTAAGTCTGCCAGCTCTGAAAGAAATAATT